CCAAAGCAGCGGCTACGGGATGGATTATGGTCCCTCGTGCTCCCTGGGGGCGTACGGCCTCCCAGGGGCCTCGGCCGGCAACAGCGGAGTGATCCGAGTGCCCGCGCACCGGCCGATTCCCTCCGTGTCGGTCCATCCTCCGCCGGCGGGAGCCAGCCTCGCGTTCCCTTGGACGGAGCACAACAGGCGGCTGACTAAGGACCGGATGGCAGGTGAGCAGCATCAGCCGCTCGGAGCCCTTCTGGGGCTGTTCCGGCCCCTCCCCGGGAGGCCGAGGGCTTGGCCCCACCCGCTTCCGCCAGGGCCGCTGGGGCCTACCCGGGCTAGATTCGGTCCGCGCGCCCCCAGCTCATCCTAACCAGAAGCGCCTGGCCAAGTGTGGGGGGCCCAGCGCCGATAGGGCGCGTCCTGCGGGTCCCAGTGAAACTCGCCCCGAGCAGCCCGATTCCCAGTCCTGGGGGGGTGGGGGGGAGGAAGAGGGAAGCCCAGGCCCTTTGTCTTGCCTTGGCGCTCGAAGGTCGGGTACTCCACCTTTCTGCCTCGGTCCGGAGGACTTCCTAAGACGGCCGGGAACAAAGGCTCACGTTCTCTGGCCGGGGAGCAGCGCCTGTGGAAATGGCCGGGCCGGACGAAGCCTCCATTCCGAGAACCAGGAACTGTTCCCCGAAGCTGCCCCAGAAAGAAACCAGGGTTTGGGAGGGGCGCAGGAAGAGGGGACTTGAGGCTCGGGGCCCGGCAAGGGACAGGCCCCGAGGAAGGTGCTCGTGAGAGACCTTGGGAGCAGCAGGGACCGCTTTCTTGGGGGAGGGGGGAGGGCGTTTCTATCTTCCTCCAGCAAGTCTTTGCTAAGCAGACCTGCATTTGGCGGGCGGGGGGGCGCGTTGGGCTTGGCTCATCCCAACTCTCCAGCTTTGTGGCTCCGACAGAGAAGTAGGGTTCTTAGAGCCCCCCCGAGAAGAGTCCACACCCCGAAGCGCCACTCTCTAGGGAGGCAAGCGGCAGTCCCTCTGCATGTGTGGGACACGCAGCCAGGCCCCAGACCGAGCACGAGGCCGACCACCAAGACGGAAGGCAGCTACCGGCGCCTAGATCGCTCTGACCCCCCGCCCCACCTCCCCGGTGGCAGGGATACAGCCCACCCTCCTCTCTTTCTCGGAGGCCAACGGAACATCGTGGGGCGCGTCCCGGGGAGGAGTCCGGAAGCTGAGGTCGCCTGCCATCGGTAGCGGCCCGCGGTCGCCTTCGGCGCTTCCGAATCCTCAGGATCTCCGCTCTCTCGGTCTGCCCGTAGCCGCGTTGCAGCCCTTCTCCGTGGCCAGGCGGGTCGGCCATCCGTACCAGAATCGCACTCCGCCCAAGCGCAAGAAGCCGCGCACGTCCTTCTCACGGGCGCAGATCTGCGAACTGGAGAAACGGTTCCATCGACAAAAATATCTGGCGTCCGCAGAGCGAGCTGCCCTGGCCAGAGCGCTCAAGATGACCGACGGCCAGGTCAAGACGTGGTTCCAGAATCGTCGTACGAAGTGGAGGTACCGGGGCGGTGGAGGGGGCTGCGCCGAAGGAGCCGCGGGGACGGCCTGCAGGGCGCTTGGGCTGCGCGGTCGCTCCCCTCCTCGTCTGCGGCGATTCTTGGGGCCGGGATGGCTGCTTAGCGCGATTCTCGTCCGGCGACTTTGCCGGGCGGGGCTAAATTCAGAAGGGGAGGCGCCCGACGCTCCAGCACCCTCAGAGGGTTTTGGATAAAGGGCCGATGGCGAGCGGGCGGGCGGCGGGGTGAGCTCCCTTCTGCTCATGCTCGGAGTCCCCTTCCCGTCGCCGGTTCCAGAGCAGCAGCTCCTGCGTCCCGTCAGCCGTGATTTCAGGCGCTGACGCCGCCGTGCCGGTCTCTCCAACAGGCGACAGACGGCGGAGGAGCGCGAGGCGGAGCGCCAGCAGGCCAGTCGGTTGATGTTGCACCTCCAGCCGGACGCCTTCCCGAAGAGTCTGGGGCAGCCGCTGCAGCAGGACCCTCTCTGCTTGCACAACGCCTCGCTCTTTGCCCTGCAGAACCTGCAGCCCTGGGCAGAGAACCACGAGGTCACTTCAGTCTCAGGGGCCGCTGCCCTCGTGTGAGCAGAGCCGTGTGCAGAGGACTTGGGGGCACCTTGCTGGCCCAGTTTCCGCTCATGTTGCTGGCTGCCGTAGGCAACTTGCACTCCCTCTGCTATCAGGTCACAGGGAGTAGCTTGCTGGGGAAGGAGTGGATTCATCAGGGCGTCTCCCAAGCCCCCTACGCCCAGCAGAGAGTGCCCCAGATGCCAGGCGGCAAGGACACCTTGCAGAGCGGCTGGGTTAGAGCCAGGCTTGTGTGCTCCGCAGTCCACACCCACAGGAGATGTGGGGCTTACAGGGGGATTCAAGGCTGCCTCTCCCTCCACACGGATAGTCCAGGAAGCAGGAGCCCAACACAAGGCAGACGGGGAGGGCTGGCAGTTTTGGCCCCATTCCTCTGGCCAGCGTGTCTTTCCATGACCTTCCATTTGAATGCCTCGTGCGGTGAGCCGGGAATGGGACATCTGCCTCTCCCCTTCAAAGTCCAAAGGACGCTGCCTGTCCCCTTGGTCCTCTGCCTGACAGAAATTAATGAGCCCGCCTTCTTTGGATCGGCAGCAGCCTGCAAAGAGACTGCACGGGAGCCGGCCCGAAGTACAGCAGTCACCGTTCTCACCCCCATGGCCGGCCCTGCGGAGTGAATGGAAATTACACCCCAGCTGCTCCTCCAGACCGCTGCTGCCCCTCTTGCTTGCTCCTGCTTTCCTGCCGCTCTCTGGATTTCCCCCAGGACCAGGCCTGAAGCTGGCTGGGGAGGAATACTGTATGGTGGCAGGTGGCATCGTCATGGAGGAGGAACGGAGTGACCTCCGGAGTTGCCACGGTTGGGTTTCTGCCTTAGAGGTCAGACAGCACAGTGTGGCATCCATGAGGGCGTCTTCCTTGATGTGAGCCCTGAGGCTCTTCGTGACGTCAAGGTCTGCAAAAGCACCAGCCAAGGTGCCTGCCCCAACTAGCACCCTTGCCCGCGAGGCTGCTGGTCTTCAGAGTGCTTTGCTCTCTCCTCCCAGTGTCACGCTGGGAATCAGCAGATGCTTTTGCTGTGCTGGCTGGGCAGAGGCTTGGCAGGGAGGGCATGGTGGCCACTGGTACTCCCCCTGGTTAGCTTTGCCTCTCCCGGGCCCGGGCATCGGCAGCTCTCTTCCCCTCTGCCAGAGCACCTTGACCTAGTGTAGGTTGGTGACCTGAAGGCCGAACTTGTGGGCCCAGGAGAAGGGGCCACTGATGGAGCTCCATGGCTGCTTGGACACCCCTGTGAAGCGTGGGCGGGACTTCGAGTGCTGGAGCTTGTCCCAGAGGTTGAGGCACAGCAGCTGGCTCTGGCCACTCAGCAGCTGGAGGCACCACACAGACCAGCCTGAGTTGTCTGTGGCTCTGCATGCCACTCGCGCCCAGTACGAGAGCCTGGAGGCAATAAGCAAGGTTATGCCGGAAAAGTGCATTGCTCCCAATTTGCCTGTTAGCAAAGGCCATCGGCTGCAATCAGGAGGCTGCGCACGGCAGTGGGTGGGAGGCTGTCCGGGATGGGCGGCGGCTGCAGCCTCACTTGGCAGCGATTGTGGCTCTGGGTGCGGCCTCCCGCCGGCTCGACAAGCAGCTGGAGATGGCAGAGCAGGGCGATGGCCTGCTGCCAGATGAGGGCAGAGGAGCTCCCGTCGTCTTTCTCCCTGCCTGCAGCTCCAGCTGATCACTCTTCGCAGCAGGCTGAGCACCAGGACAGAGTGCCACCTCCTTCATCTGTGCCCCCTTCGTTCCTCCCCCACTTCCTCTGATTGCCTGTGGGTACAAGGGCAAGCGTGCTGGGCTCAGGGAACCGATCCCCTCCCGTGCAGGCCCGCAGCATAGTATGGGGATAGGTCTGTGCCTCTTGAGCACTCCTGGGGCAGGTCTTTCAGGCGTTTTAGGTGCTGTGACACTTTTTGCCAGCAAAAGCTGTTGTGGATTCGGCCTGAAGAAGGAGCACAACGCTGAGGAGAAGAGCCATGTTTATTGCAATGACTGTTGGGTGCCTGCTTGCAAGAAAGAGGGACCCTGGGCAGTAGAAGATTTTTACTGAAGTTGAGGGCTGCAAGTGGGCAATCCTAGATTGGCTGGCCAGTCTGAGGAAGCTGGGCAGGTCCTGGCCAGGGTGAGTTCTGGGGCGAGTTCTGTTGTTGGGCAAAACGGGCCTTTCAGGAGGGCAGCAGAGTTGGGGAAGCCCCTCGTGAAGGAGGTGGAATGTGGAGATAATGGGGGCTGGGTGTCCCAGATGGAGGATGGAGCCTTGGGGTCCCCTAGGCTGCAATTCCCTTTTTAGGTCAGTTTGGGTCTGAAGGGAGATGGACTGGGTTTGAGCCTATGGGGGGCGGGGGCAAAGGGTGCAATCGCCATTTTGTCTGTTAGGCCTGTTTTCTCCGCTGGAAAGGCCAGAGCGGAAAACCTGGGGCACGATCCCAGGAAGGAGTTGGTCTTGGCATCTCTTCCTCGACCTCTCTTCAGGGCCGGGTCACCCTTTTGCACCAGCAGCTGAGGAAGGGCCTAGGGTTATCCCCTGCTGCTCGTGGCTCTGGCCTGCCTTGCAGTGTCTGGGTTGGACTTCTGGGCCTGGTGGGAAGACCAGTTTTCTTTCCCGAGGCAATTCTTTTTCACGGCCTGGATCCCCGACCTCCTCGCAGAGCTGCCTTCCCCCATCTCCATGACCTGAGGGTCCGGCACCTTTTCGCAGGCTCTGGAAGTGGGTCGTATTTGTGGAGGCAAGGTGGGTTGGGGCAGAGGGAAGGGGCAGGAGAGCAGGTCACACCTGTACAGATGCAACCACCATGAACACAGCGTTGCTGAGGCCCAAGGATGGTCGGCTGAGGCTAGAAGGAGCTAGAAATCTCAAGTGAGGAAATGATGGACAGATGGGTCCACTTGTGGCACTAAACCAAAACGGAGTTTCCTCATTTATAATTCAGTGGGTTTTGGGAATCCTGATGAATTCTGGGCAATGAACTCTAGAAAGCACAGACTGTAGTAATTGCTGAATTAAAATGAGCAATTACTACAAGGCTAAGCTGCTACTGAGTGGCAAAAAATGAACAGAGGATGGAGCCAACCTCTTGATCTACTGGCTCATCTGCCCGACTCCTCCTGTTTTGGCTGGAGAATGGCCACTTGAGGGGCTGGGGTGGGCTTCCCCATCAGTTTTTGGATATTCCATTGCTGAAGGCAGGCTGAGCTTTTGTATCCAAGTGGCCTATTTGTCCTAAGAAGAGGGCTGGGGAAGGAGGTATGCTCCATGGGGAGGTGAGCCCCTGAAGTTGTGGATTCGGAGAAGGGACTGGAAGCGAAGCCACTGAAAAGAGAGTGACAGAACTGGGAATCGCTAGCCTTGGGAAAGGGCGTCTGAGGGGAGAGCCGAGAGCCCCCTGCTTGAACTGATGAGACCCAGAAGAAGCCCCCCCCCTCTTTCTGACTTGTTCCAGAAGGCAGGACGCGGAATAATGGATTTCGGTTACAGGAAGGCAGGTTCTGGTTGAGTGTTATCTAGCAAACAGGAAGGGCTGTTGGACAGTGAAGCTGATGACCCGGGGTGGGGGGGCTCCCCTTGATATGAGGCGTCCAAGTAGAGGCTGGATAGCCATCTTTCAGTTTGAATTCTTGCGCTGAGGGACAGTTAGACTCTGCATTGTACAGCTAATGAATTTCTGTCACCTGTGGCCCAACTGCCAATGTTTTGGAGAGAACAGTATTACAGGAGTTGGCCAGGGGACCTTCTCCCGCAAGTCCAGGACATTCAGCACTCAGGTCCATGAATGGCTTCTGGAGGTATCCACTGTGATTGGCTTGCTGTGGTGTCAAGTGAGTGCCCGCGGCTGTGGGGTGATCTGGCACATCTGTGCATCCGTTTGATCCTCTGCTCCTACTGTAGGAGACCCCTTCACTAGACAGGGTGATTCCTTCTAGCTTTGACTGCAAAATGGGGGCCCCCGTAGTGGAGCCCCAGTAGCAGCTGTTCTTCTCTTGCTGTTTGTCTGCAATCTATGCTGTGGGGCGGGGCAGGCAGTGTCTGCCACAAAGTCTAATCCAGTGCGGAAAGGTTCATACAAAATCCTTCTCCAGGAAAAGGGCCTTTCTGAAAGGATGTTTGCTCTCCAGGAGCCTCTTTTACTCCCTTGGGGGGGGGGGGGCTTTTGGAAGAAAGTGCAGATTCCTGGAGGACGACCACACAAATGAGCCCCAGCTGATCCTGTGCTTCATCTCAACCTTCCTTCCTCGAACAAGGACACACAGATTTTTATATGGCATTGCATGTGCTTTGCAGCTCACCAATTCAAGGATGTCTGAGTGTTCCCCAGCTGGTTTGTGAATGAAAACTATTCTCGTGGCAGGAAGCAGAGCATGTGCACCCCTAACACAAGGTCCTCAGACCTCATCCATTGTCCACATTGCACCCCCTTCCAAACCACATGCACATGTATGTATACAGACCTAAATAAGGACATATCTTGATGTGTCTGTTGGTGAAACGGCTTGAAGTCCACAAACATTTGCTTATAATAAATGTATTCATTTTAAGATGCCACAAAATTCTTTGTTCATTTTGTTCTAGGAAGCCGCCTGCAAATATCCATCTGGGGATTTTTGCAATTGGCAAAAGTCCATCTGCAACAAGAGCAGAAAGGTGTGTCCTCTTGAGATGGGTGGTGGGGTGGGAAGGGGGCTCAGATTGAAGTTGCAGTTCTTGGTGAGACTGGATGCAATTTGGCCCCTGTGTCACTGATGAGCCCCCCACCCCGTGCATGAACAGGCCAATGGCGTTGCTGCACCCTCTGGTGATTATAGGAGGGTGCAGGCACCTGCGTGGAAGGAGGAATCAGACCCCTCCCCACCAGCGCTGGGATTAAGAGCTGCTCTGCTTCCTGGCTGTCTGATCCAGGCGCCGTTGGCCCTTAGGGACAGGACTCAGCAGAATCCCTCACGGGATCACTGGAAGGGGAGCAATTGCCTCCTGCTCCCTGCAGTGCTTCCTCAGGGTAATGTTTGTGGAGACGCATCACAAACATTTGGGGCTGTGGTCAGCACTGGACTTCAAGCTCCTTTTGTGTCCTCTCCCCAGGAACGAGGGGCAGACCTGGAAGGAGAGACCTTGGAGACCGAGGAGGAAAGGCCTGGCTGCCAGGAGCTGCTAAGCAGACCTTGAGGGAGCAGCATACAGGTAAGGCCAGTGGGACCGTCTTCATCCCACCAGGCACACCTGATGCGTCAGTTGAAGCAGGACTCCGACTCCGCTCCGGCTGTAACGGACACAGCGGGTTCGTGCTGGATGGACCGAGGTGGCTGGCTCCTGCTCGTGGGGTGCTCCCTACTGCATCCCGCCCCCCCCACTCCTGCGGAGAGCCAGTTTGGTGCGCTGCCCCCAGCCTCTTTACTCCAGAGAAAACCCTCTCTGGCCCGGCTGCCCAGGAAGGAAGTCAGCGGGAGCGCTCTTGCCTTGGCCGGCTGGCCTGGTAGGGAGGCAGGCTGGTTGGGGGCCAGTTCTTTTTCCCAGGATGAGGTAGTGGATGCTCCCCATCGCCCCCCCCATCATTAAGAATTCCGAATCCTGAACCTAGCAAGGTCACAGAAAGTGAAAAAGAAAATGGAGAAGGAACCGCCGTGGCTTTCTGAAGGAGCTGCTCCCTCAGCTCCGGAGTGCAAAATAACTCCTAAAATAACCATGACTGGTTTCTTTGATCCTGGCTTGGGTGCTGCTGGTTGGGGTTACCTTAACCTGATTTCATCCTGAAAACGCAAAATACGAAAGAGAAAGCCAAAACAGAGGCTGCCCTCCCCTCTTTTAAAAGCCCCCCCTTCAGTCTTCGGATACTTTTTAGCTAACTGTCCTCTTAACACCTTCAGTGTTTGAACCTCTTGAAATGAATCCTTAACTTGTTGTTATTGGATGTTTATTTAATTTATTTATTGAAAAGGTTCATGCAGCTGCCCGTCTTATGTAACATAACTCTGGGCTGCTCATGTGGGAATAAAAGCAACCGGCAAAAAGCAACGAAACGGACCTTATCCGGTGCCCCAAGCCCAGCAGAGATGCGGAGAAGCTCCAGCCTTGCATCACCCCAAGGCTGGCGGGAAAAGCCAGGTCCTTGCAATTTAGAGTGACCCCCC